TCTTTCCTTGCCCCACGTTCCATTATGTTTCTTTTTTCCTAACTTCACATTCTTCCAGCGTTCTCTTCTGAGCTCAGTTTCATGCCACCCTGATTATTTCTTTAATTGCAAGGTCCTTCTCTTCTCAGTGACCCCCATCCCCCTGTCTCTGTCTGACCCTTGCTGTTGCCTCCTCTCATCCAGCCATTTCGAGAGTCCATGCCACACTGACATTCCCCATCACCAGCCTTTCCTGTTTGGTACCACATCTCTCTCTGTGTTCTGTGCTTCCCCCCGCCCTCCCATCAAGCTCACGCTCCCTACCGCTTTCAGTACACATTCTGTTTCTCCTTCTGCATCTGCCTGGATATCAGGGCGAGAAGCACTGAGCGAAAAGCAAAGACAATTTCTCGGTTCTTATTTCAATATTTAGCACAGCAGTTGTTTTCGGGAATGACAGAGAGTTGCAGGGAAAGAACTGCTTCATTCCTGCAGCACCAGGATAAAGCATGCTCAGTACAGGTGGGCTCCAAGGAGAATTTAGCTGCAAAACTCAACAAAAACTTTACAATGGGTGAAACTGGGATTTTTCCAACACTTTTTAAAATTTTTGTTGGGGCAAAAAGGACCATGTTTTTCCAATCTTGCAAAATTTCAATTATGTCCTAACATTTTATCTGTAAATGGTATTTTAAATACTCTTGTATGCACTATAGAGGAATTATTATATAGAATATATTCCATAATAAAGAATATAATACTATCTCTTTCATGTTTCAGGTTCTGGGAAAAAACACTTACTGGGGAAATACTTATGTCTTTCTTATGTCCCCTCAAAAATATATCTGTATCTCATTATCAAAACATGTCTGGGGTAATAGTCTCTTTATCAACATTCATTAATTTTTTTTTTCCAACTTACTGTATTAAGCATGCTATGCCGTTCTATAACTAAGCAAACAAAAGTAGGAAAGCTGCAGCATTCTGTGGGGAAGTGAAATAATTGAAATACCAAATGTAATTTCAGCATTTATGAAAACATTATGTGAGTTAATCATAATTAAAAATAAAGATTTTTATCTACTATCTATTATAAGTAAAAGGATACTTGTCAAATTGAAGTTATCTTTAATGTTGATATTTTTAGCTATCGCTTTTGTGAGTAAGGAATAGGACTAATTTAAGCATTAAAGATAATTGCATTTGTCAATAAGTGAGGTATGTTCTGTTCTATTTTTTATCATGTAACACTGATTCAGATTCACTTTTAGTTCATGTAAAGTCTTTTGTAAAATGGCAGAGATAGTAAAAAGAAACTTGAATGTGAGACTATAAAAAGAAGCAATAAAGGATATTTTAGGATTGGGTCTGGATTTTTAAAATACTGGGTAGATAACAGTTTGCTGGAATATCCATAAAATGCTAACAGATAATCATAAAAAATAACCCAGATGTGGGTCTCAAATATGCTTACATATTTTTTAACAGATACAAACAGATACTAAGTTATTAGGAACTGGTGTAGACGCTGGTTTTAAATGTTTTCTTTCTTGCTTCTGTTTAAAATAATAATAAAGCAGATTATCCTCTTCTCCATACATATTGTAGGTTCACTAGATGCCTATGCCTAGCTCCCAATCCGGTTTCCCAAGACCCCCTCATCCCACACAAAAAGGTACCATACAAAGATAATGTTTGACTTTTATATACTGTTTTGTTACCACACCTCTTACTAAGCAGTAGAACAATGACATTTACTGCAGCTCTTACTTTCTTATATCCATTGACTTTTTCTTCCCCATCTGGTTACTTACCATGTATTTGTCTGCCTACATTATTAATTTTTCTTTTCCTCTATAAATCCCACATTCCCAGTTTTCTGTCTCCCAGTAGTTTCCCTCCCAAGTCCTGTACATTCATCTTCATTCCATTTAATCACCACTCCCTTTATGCATTGTCTCAACTCATCTAAAATTAACTACTTCTGCACTGTCTTCCCCATTGACTGTTCTTTTCATATGGTGTCCTTGTCATGTCTTCCTTTCCCAAATCGCTGCCAAATTGTTTTGTGCTTTTCTCTCAAAGTTCTCCTGCTAAGAGCAGGAAGCTTAACCAAATTCTCTCTCTCATGCTGCTGTTTTGTTTATTTTCTCAATTTCTTTCCTATTTTCTAGCAATTGCCTCAGTCTGTAACTTTTCTGCTTTCTTCCAGTTCATTTCCAACTTATACATGCCATCTTTCTATGTACTTCTGAAGCCAGCTCCATCCTTTTCTACTAACAGTCTTCTCACCCTGTTCAGTTCCCATGAATTCTCAGGCCTATTTATTTTTATTTTTATTTTTTTCCCAAATGTCTGTTTGTGTTCCAGGAGACCCTTTGCACTTTGCCTGTCCTCAAAGTTTTCCTGTCCTACTTCACTCTTTCAGTCAATTTTTCCCTTATTACGCATTCTCCTCTAGTGCAAATTTTGTTCCTTTTGTCCATCAATCAAAATT